CAAGAGATGCCACACTTGGCAATTTCAGTATCCATCCCAGTTCCCACCCAGCAGCCACCCAATGTCCAACCTTACTACGAACAGGATGATTTTGGCTCAGTTGGCCCCACAAATACCCACAATTTTGAAACTCAGTTCCAGTCTATAACTGTTAAAATATCACGTGTAATCAAAGAGGTATTGCCTACAAAAAAGCAGTAAGAAAAAAGCATAAAAAAAGCAATGACAAAAAGAACTTAAATTACTGAATTGTTTCTGAAGACTGGACAGTTCAAGTTAGCAGTAATCACATTAACATTTCTGAGGTGTTCTTCTATTCCACATTCTCCTAAAATGTTGCAGGAACCTACCAACCAAAATCAAATTTTGAAATCTAGATGGCCACAACATAAAAAGTACCTACAGATTCGGCCATGTGCCTGAGGAAGCGAGATCGACACCTTTTTTCCTTTTCGCCATGGCTTGCTGGCTCATGAATAAGATACGAAATACGAATCATTTGAAAAATGTGAAAAACTCACTTGTCCTGAGAACAGTCACCACATAATATGCATAAAAACGATCCGCTTTCTCGAAGAATCTTCTTCTCCAAACACAAGGTTATCAACTATCAAAGATTCACTGAAAAAACAAAATGAGAATGGTTACGGATTGGGTTTCATGTGAAACCACGAGGTGGTCTATATAGTGAAATGGTGCTTGCTTGACCTCATTTATTAGGGCTGTCCGAGTCTCCTGTTTGACAAGCCTGATAGTTGGTCTCGTTTTGAACAGCGTTTGAAGCATCATGGGTGCGACTCTTTTTAGGACTAACCGTGAGAGCCGGTCTCATCTCATATCCTGCGTCGGTGTGAGGCAGCGTGGTGGTTTCAGATCAAATGCAGTCGCTGGACTTGTTTACATACAGCGCATTGTCAGGCGCCATTTGCAAATTGTGTGCGTTGGTGTGCGCTGCGCTTGGAGTGATATTGTTATAAGTAGAGACATTCTTTAGCCATATATAAAATATTGTGCATGATAACAGAGGAAACAACACACTTGCTCATCAGTCATGGTCAGAAATCTTTTAATCTTTCGCTACAGTAAGATTTCGTTGAAATCGATTGGAAGGGCAGATGTCATAGTGACTTCGGCTTCTGAAGAAGGCAACGATCTTCCCGACCTCTACAAATTGAAGAACCAAGAGACAGTGGCGGCCGAGGAATTTCGCTCTCTAGGAGAAGACGTTTCGCACAACCGCGCGTTCACCACGGTGTAGCGGCGGCCGGGGTGAGTGACGAGTGTTCTTTGGTTGGGGACTGCAGCGCGGCACGACGCGACTGCTTTCGCCGCGCCCATTGCTACTGCATGAACCAGCTTTGTGTTTGAGAGGGCTTGGGCCTTTTGTGACCGGGTCGGCAGCGCGTGGCACGACGGGACTGCCAATTGTCTCCGCATATATGCTACTGCACTGAAATTTGTGTTTGAGAGGGCCTGGGCCTGTGTCGACCGGGCCGGCAGCGCGCGGCACGACGCGACTAATACGAGACTAATACATTTTGAGAAGAAAACATGGTTGTATTTTGGGCGGCAATATGGCCGCGCGGCAGGGCGGGGCTGCGCGGCTACATTCGAGGGTCCAGAAAGAAGGCTCGTAACGAGAATGGCTTGAGTTCTTCTACGAGACCATTTTCTGGTCTAATCCAATGGTGGCTGATGTTGAGACAGTCCAGCGGTATTATCGTAAACCAGAACGTGGTTTCATCCAGCTCAGAGTTTCAAAAGAGAACACACTTTGAGCATTTTGGAGACCAGTTTTGTTTCTCCGTGAGACCACTGAATGGTTTCACGAGACCGGTTTCTAAGCTCTAAAAGGGTTTCAGAAAGACCGCGCAGAATGGCTCAAAAAGTGTGGTCTGATTTGAATAGGGGAAAAAAGACCGCTTTCTGGTCTCTGAGACCAAAATTTGGCTGACTTTTTTTTCAGTGTTTCGAAACAGATGCGCCATAATAACAGAGACTTTTAACCAGCTGATTAAATTGCTGCAAAAAAAAGCTTCTGAACTGTAGCAAACTGCCTCATAAATGATTTGTTGATGTAAATGATCCAAAACGATATTGAATTCTGATGTAATCAACATTGTGAGTTTAGTTCACTACAAGAAAATGCATTCCCTTTCAGGAATTAAACCAAAAAGGCATACGAATAAATATTACGTCATCATCTTACATCCTTCCATCAGGGTAGAGAAGATCTAAAAAGTCAATCCTTGGTTCCCCTGTTATTCTGCGCCACTTTGTTTATTTTATATGCATATTGTGTTTTCTTGTAAAGATGAGACAAAATGCCAGTTTATTTGATTTTCATTTCATTTTTGGGACCAAAGTCAGGCTCAGGGCTACCTAATACCTGCCTTTTCAGCTGGATTTTCAGTGTCAAATACTTTTTAGAGTATCTCAGACCATGCATCTCAGGACTCAAGGCCAGTTTCCAAACAAAACAATGTGTTTTGTGGTGTTTTGATTCTGCCTTTTCCTCTAGGGAACGTTGTCATGAACATTTATTTATTTTGTTACGGAGCGAGCGAAGCGAGCGTAGTCTTTCCCTAGATTAACGGAAATTTCCGAGTATGAGCGGCCGGCCGGCCGGCCGGCCGTGGTCACGATTCTGCGACGCTTATATCTCAGCAACCACTTGACCGATTGACACGCGGTAATTTTTGTAGGGTAGCTTCATTCCTTCTACCAAGTATTGGACTATTCCTGATGCATGTGGGTGACCCCTTATGCACGTGCCACGTGCAAAACGAAGAGGTGTCACTTTTGTAATTGTTGCAATATCTCGGTAACTACTTGGCCGATTGCGCTGAAAGTTGGCATGTAGGTAGGCACCCACCAGGCAATGCATATCCATGTGCCAGAGTTGGGGTGCTGCTGCACGTGCGCACGTGCAGGGGTCGATTCCAGATCTCGAGAACGGCTGGACCGATGGCGCTCAAATTTGGCACATGGTTAGGGACCGGTTAGTAGGGTGCCGTGCAAAAGTCAGTTGGGACCCATTTTGCACGTGCGCACGTGCCGGGTGCCGCTTCCAGATCTCGAGAACGGCTGGGCCGATTGTGCTCAAATTTGGCACATCGCTAGAGACCGGTTAGTAGGGTGCCGTGCACAAGTCAGCTGGAGGTACCCCGTCGAAATTTCGCGCGTGCAAGGCTCACCCTCTCGCTCGCTCCGTTAGTCGCCCCAAAAGGCGTTATACTGGTTGTATTTTACCTATTACATACCATTAGACTTACTGATTGATCGAGCTTTTGCAGCATGAATAAGTATTCTTTCATTTATTGACCGCAGTAGATTGACAATCCTAATTATAACGAAACCTGTGAATCGCTGAGGTCCATGTGTTATCCATACCCTTAGCAATGTAACTTCTACCACAAAATGTATTTTGCAGTGGCTAATATTGCTGTTATTATAATTTGATAGCCTCTTAGTGCCCAAAGTTTAAACCATACCTATGCTGATATTTTCTATTTTTGTGCAAAATCAAAAATACCGGCATGCTACCGGCAAGACATGCCAGATACCACGAAAAAACCTGCGGTAGTGAAAATTTACCGGCATGCCGGTAGTGCGGTAGGGAAACTTTGCAACTCTAGTCAACACCAGCTTCTTTTTACTGTAACTTTTGATAGCGACATGCTAGAGCGGTGAAAACACAACAGATGTGTTCAGCTCGACGATACGGATCGACTGATATGCAACGTGGCCCTTTCCGCTCAGGTTATGACCTTGACCTGAGGTCAATTTTCAAAATTACTTTTCAAGGTCAACAAATAATTCATTCGACGCGTCTCAACGAGAGGAACATGATGCTGGCAACCGTAATGTCGTGACTCTCGAGTCAAAAGTTATTACCAAAAACATTTGTTTTGTGAAAACTGCTATTTTCTACAACTTCTGCCCTCTGGAGGCTAAACCGTTGACCTGAGGTCAAATCTGAGGTCGATTCTCAGAAAGGTCTGTAAAAGGGCTATCGAATGCACTTTTCCACAGCGCTGCAGCTCTATTGTCTCCCGAGTTAGCTGTTGGGTGCTTCAAAATTGTGAAATGGGAAAAACTGACGTTTGATGACCTCTGGTGACTTGACCTTTGGCCTGACCTTAAAAATCAACGAAGGATTTCCGCCATTATTTTTGACGCTTTTTCGATTGCCGCTTTCCGCGTGTTGCTATTTGGCCCAGGAGCTGACTTAGACGGGAGCGTACGCCCCCCCCCCTCCCCGCCCCCGGCACGACACGGAAAACTCAGGCCACCAGCACGGCGCTGGCTGACGTCCCGGTATACTTTTTTTGCAGCGTTTCCGATTTATATCATAATTGACAGATGTAAGTAACTGTTTTTAAAGCTATTTAAATTGACAACGTTCTCTTTGTATATCCATGGCAAGCTTGGTTCAAGCTGCAGGCTTTTGTAGTCCTTTCACATCGAGTTTTATCCTTCCGCGCCGAATCAGGTAAAAAAGGACTAATTGTTTCGAAATTACCGAACCAACTGTCAAAACATCGGTGAATGCATGTGCGTTGCAGTTCAGTTGACAATTGTGGTGGCACTGTGCCTTGTTTTGCGTAACTTTTGTGGGTTCAAGGCCTCGTTTGATCACGCATGTCATTGCGCATAATTGGAGGGACTCGTTCGGCAGCTGTTTCGGTTGAGTCGCACTAATTGCTCCGACCCCCGGCCGGCTCGTGTCGCTATACCTCCCCTTCCTCCCCTCCCTCTGGTTTTCGTTACCACCAGCTGGCCTTGGTGATCGTTATAATACCGGTATAAACTAGTTATTCTGCTTGTAAGTAGCATCTGTCCTTCATCGTGTGAGAGCATGTTACCTAACGTGTGTACTTTGGGTGTTCTCGACTACCTACGTATACAATTCGGGTGATTCTGCAAATCTGCACTTCATCTGCCGAGCGGTGCTGGTGTGTTTAGTCCGTTGTAAATCCCCAAGGCAACACATCTTATTTGTGGAGGCGTGATATATTGGTAACAAACGATACAGCTCTGAACACACGCACTTCATACAAAATTACGAAGTTCGACTAGATACACCGTCAATCACAAGCGAAATGCAGCACATTATCGAGTCGTCCCGGCTGGCTGACATATTTACAAGGGCGTTCAGTGGGCCTCGGCCAATCGCCGAGCCGTCCGACCATAAACCAAACACTGCCCGTCGAACGATGGCAAATGAGCAAACTGTTCACTGCGCCTCGCTCTGAGCCAAACAAACTGCACGTGCGCACGCGCACGGAGCACGTGACCACTCGCTGGCGCGGTCCGGGGCCAGCCCGAGGCCATCCTAAGGAGATCTTTGAGCTGAAATTAACAACCGCACTGTGCGCAGACAGCGGCAGAGATGTGATCCAATTGTGGATTTCAAACATGGCGCGTGTTACCCCGAGTCGATTGCACCTTTCACCCCTGCGAGCATGCGTCCGTTTTCACGTCAGCCGCCGGCGGTGGTAGGCACATCTGAATGCTAGTGAGTTATGAGAAGCTCCACGGTATGGTATGCATGTAAAAATAACGCCCCGTCGGAAAGATACGGGCCCTACTATATCGATGACAATTGACAAACACTAACTCACGAGCCGTGGTTTGAGAGCCGCGCAGAGCGGCGCGGGGATCCGTATTGCCAGCGCGGCCTCCACGGCCGGAAAATATAGGCATCTGGTCAATGTCTCAGGCATGTTCATTGTGAGGTAATAACTCAATTTGTGCCTCCTCCTGTCACGTGACTCGTGCTCGCAAAAGTGCTCGTCCACGCTCTAAAACCTACGTCTATTGACACAGACGAATTTCACGAGCTGAACCACACAAACTATGCTATCAAAGACTACCCACTATTACTTGAAAATGGGCGTTCAAATCTAGCCCAGACACGTCAGAGTGGATAGAAGATTACAAGTTTCGTCAAATGTCCTCAATTCGACAGCAATCCTTCAGCAGCTGGCTGGCAACGCAAAATAATCGATCTTACCTAAATGTTTCTTACCAAATTCCCCCAAAAGTCCTGTCAATTATAAGTTACAAACCAGAGCACCTCCAAAGTACGGTAGTATGTTTGAATAAGTTCTATAGCCCTAACTTTATGATAAGTGTTCTCTGTCATTCCTCGTATAACCTAATGATAAATTTGGGCCGAACCTTATCTTTCATTGACAACGATAACCGCTTCCGTCTAACTTCAAATAACTGAGATCAGTTGGAAAATAAATAAAACGCGCATAATCAACTTAATGGCAGCTCGGCTAAGTCCATCAAAATCGTTACGGATTCTACACAGTACCGTACAGGACTAGCAAAAATGCCTCAAGAAACTGCCCTCAACAATACAATAAAATCAACCATTATCTGGCCCTTCTTCAAGTAGACCGATCCGAAAGCAACTGCCAGATGTGGAGACTCGGCCTGCTTCACCTCACATTAGAATCAATTTTGATTAAAACATAAAACGGCCATCCCTAGCCACAACCCAGTCCTCTTAACACATAAGATCGTCTTCAACTTCAGACCACAGACATCTCTAAAAGTCAGCGCTCAACGCTAACAGAAAACGTTTCCGTTAAGAGACCACTTCAGCCATTCTAGATCCGTTTCAGGTCCCATCAAGTGACCCGTTCAGACCGGGTCGGCGACCTCAGTCCCGGCCGCCGCCCGGTCGCCAGCCACACAGTCCACAGCCAGAATCATGCACACCCATTTGTACCGGAGCGTCGTCAGCGCGGCCGAGCCTGGCGCCGCCTACAAGGCGAAGGCCAGGTCGTCGAGGTCGTCGCTGCACAGGTCCAGTACGGGGAACATGGCCAGCGGGTTGAGCAGCGACGACTCCTCGTCGAGCGGCTGCACGTCGAGCTCGCGCAGTTCCAGGTCCATGTCGGCCTCGGGCTCCGGCGAGAAGGGGCAGTGGCCGGCCGGCGAAATGTCGTAGAAGGCGGCCTCCTCGGCGGCGCCGGCCGACAGCTCGTGCGCCGCCAGGCCCGAGGACATCTCCGACTCGTAGCCGCTCGAGGAGCCGATAGACGGCACCGGACTGTAGGGCGTGTGTAGCACGCTGGCCGGACTGGCCTGGCAGTGCGACGAGCCGGCCGGCGACAGCGGCGACACACCGCCGTAGCACGAGGACAGCGGACTGTCGGGCGCCGCCACGGCCGACAGCGGGCTGCCGCCGCCGCCCAGGTACCTCGGGTCGGCGGTCAGACCCGGCGGGCTAGCCGGAGACATGTAGCTGGCTGCCACCACCGGCTTACGCTCCTGACGCGACGAGTTCTTCTTGGCGGCAGGGGAGGCGGTCGTCTTGGCCACCGTCTCCTTGGGCTGTCCCTTCTTGCGCGGCCGGTACTTGTAGTCGGGGTACTCGAGCCGGTGCAGCTCCACCAGAGTCTTGGCGCCGCGCATGAACGGCTCCTTCTCGTCCTTGCTGAGGTCCTGCCACAGGCGGCCCAGCGCCTTGGAGATCTCAGAGTGGTTGCAGCTGAAGTTCGCCGTGATGTACTCGCGCTGGATCTTGGCGAAGAGCATGAATGTGTTGAGCGGACGCTTCGTGTGTTCCGGGTTGCGACGGCTCTTCTTGATCTGGAAAGAACAGAAACCAACGGTCAGCAAAACGGTACATAGGTATCGCAATCCTGGACTTCCAATGATTCATGTTTTTATTCGTGATGGTATGATCACTGATCAGCATGACTGGACGTTCATCTCATCGACTTCAGATAACTCAGCATTTCTGGGACATATGATATGCCAGGATAATAATCCCGGATTCCGCTTTTACCGAGCGGAATTACCAGCGTACGTTCAACCCGGCCTTCCGCCTTGACCTATAACTACCGCGTCCGTGAGTCAGCGCCGAGGGCGTGATGGTCGATTTTCCCGTCCACTCATCCCGCCCACTAACGCGTGTCGCCAATGACTCAGACTGCCGGAGGAGCAGGCGAAGTTCGTCGCCCGATGACAGGCTACCTTACCACACCATGACTGACACACTGTGACACTATCTCTGAACTAACGCTTCCTTTCATCTCAGCAGTGAGCGACACTTCGCAGAACTGCCGCGTCCGCTGTTTGTCCTACGTCGTACTGCACGGGGTGGTGTATTTCGGTACATAACGTCACTGTTGTCAAGGGAAGAGCCTGCCACTTTCAAGGCCATCCGGGCAGCTGGCCAGGGATAGTTGGAGCCAGCGCCAACAGATGGCAGTAGTGGTATCGTTCCGCCGCCACAGCGGTGTTTGGGACGGGAAGAACATCAGAGAAGTTTGAAAATTTGACGGGTACTTATATTGGAGCTCTGCTGGCGCGAACATAAAAGAAAATATTCTCAGGGAGATGTAATTTTCTTTTGCTAATGATCGATAAAAATAATAAAGGCGTACCTAAAACCTGTCATCAACACTTGGAAGATAAGCGCGAATTTTCTTCCCTACCATTTTACCAGTCCTTACTTACAATCTACAAAGTTATCGATAAATGTAAAGCAAGTATGTAGAAACTTGTAATCACACTTATAATTGTGGCGACAAAGTGGAGCGCAGTATTATGCAGCACATATTTCTAAAACAATTATTGTTAGCTAATATGGAAAAATTAACCGATATCGATTAGTGCAAATACGGGGGCCACAACATGCAACATGGTAAAAATGCTCAAACGAAAGCTGCATACTTCTGCAGGCCATGGCCATTTATCCTGGGCTTACGACCTGCTCTATATTCAATCCTTCTGTCCGAAAGTAACTATTTAATAATTAACGTTTGTACAGTTTGTAAACTGTATATTTCTGTGGATATCAACCAATCGCATATTCCACATAAAAATACCGAGGGTGAGGATTTTCGATCTTGTTTGATATTTGGATGCAATTTTCAAAATTTGTATAACAAAATACAATTCGGCAGCAATCACCAAAAACTATCGTAGAAAGCAGCTACGGGTTGAATCAAAGAACCTTCGAATTATAAATTAATTCCCACTGATGAAGAATGAGTAAATCAAAAATATAAAACTACGCAGGCGACTTTTTTCTATGCAGGCAGCAATTTATGTCTTCAAATACCTAGTATTTTTGGTTAACATTAGAACTTTTTTGTCGGAGATATGTAGGACAGAGTCTGATTCAAAATATATTTTTCTTGCGATTACCAGTCGTTCATTACTCACGCTTGAAAACATAAAAGACTTTGAAGCAGCCGAAAAACACGATTATTAAAAAAAATCGTCGCAAAATTCACTTACATTCATGGCATCGGAGTAGGGCGTAGGCGACTCCCACAGATACTTCGGAAAGTCCGGATAGCGAATCTGGAACTGGTTCAGGTTGATCGCCATGGCGTTGGCGCACATGGACTGCCTCGAGAGCTCCGGCTAGCCAGCCCACCGCACCGCACGAGAACCGACAGCACACTGCCCTCGCAGGCCCGGCGCAGCCCAGAGACTATCGAGGCGCCGCAGCGCCCCTGGCGGCCGCGACGGAAACTACACTCGAGCTCGCACCGTCGCACGTGCCGCCGGCGGGCGCGTGGCGTTCGACCGGGGTCAACTCGGCAGGGCAAGACGAGGAGCCGTGGGCGACCCACGACCGGTGACCTGACAGGTGCGGGGGCGTGAGCAAACGTAGAGACATCCGCAGAGTATCGTGGTGAGACTGGAGGCGACAATTGGATACCGGTGTGCAGGGAAGAGCTTGGGAACGTGTGGTTTTTCTTTTATCAGAAATAAGCGCTGAATATACGATGCAACGTTTGCCGGGAACTGGAATACTGAACTTAATGAAAAAAGGATTATTTCCCCGTGGAACAGACCGAACACTTACAAATCATAAATAATAGACAATCGTTTCGGCAGCATGTGTTTGAAGGCCACTGACATTTCGACAAGTTTTTTATGGCAATGTCTTCTGCGCAGCTAGACTGTCGACCACTGGATATGGAATATTTGATGTTTATTTTCCAATGAAGCAGGCTGTGAGCTGTAAAGTCGACTACAGAATGATGTTCCACTCCTCAGAAGTTATCAGTTGACCGGAGCGCTAAGTTGTGCCGTTTATCACGCAATTAAGCGTGTCGATTGTGAGCATTGGGACAAAGCTATAGGTAATTTGTGAACTCAGCCCGTGTGATGCGGCACAGCCTACCACTCCAGGCAAATAATTGCCTGTGAAAAGTGGAACATCATTCTGTAGTCGACTATACAGTGCATTGGTAAGAAACAAGACTAGACGCTGCATCTGCAGTAAAGAACTATTTTTAGAGCAGCATTACGTTGAACCATTATACAGCTATGGGTTCTTTGCAACCTGCAGCTGTAATACTGGTCTGGTGACTGGTGACTTTGAAGTTTGTTGTTATACATACAGTGTACACATTGTTATACGGAACCATATACGGCGTGATTGTGAGGGGTAACTATTTCATAAAAAGTTCCTATCTTCATTGTTTTATTGTTATTGTTATTATTGTTATTGTTTTTATGATTATCATTATTATTATTATTACTATAATTATTATCATTATTATTAATATTATCATTATTATTATTACTATATGTAATTATTATTATTATTATTATTATTATTATTATTATTATTATTATTATTATTATTATTATTATTATTATTATTATTATTATTATTATTATTATTGTTATTATAATTATTATTATTATTATTATTATTATTATTATTATTATTAATATTATTATTATTATTATTGTTGTTGATGCAACCCCCTAAGGTTTTTCGCGAATAACTCGCGTAAAAAGCGGCCGATCGCGACGAAACTTTCAGTACCCTCGCATTGATCAATTTTACACCTACTCTGAAAATTTCATGACCCTGACCCAAATGACCTTTGACCTGTGACCTCTTTTCCGAGACCATGTTTGGCCGGAATCGCGATTCGGCGTATGTCGGCTCGCATTAGCCGCGCGTTTAAAAGCTTTTCGTGGTTTCAAACGTTCAAACATGTGATTTGATGTTGCTCCCATACATAAGGGTGGTTGTCAAGGTCACCTGAAGGTCAGGTCAGGTCATTGACCTTTGGTGACCTCGGGTGATCTCGTTTCACTTTTTCGAGTTTTACATGTTTCTAGGCTAGTTTTTGGAGCTGAATTCGAATTTAGCAACCATTTGAACATTTACGAAGTAGTTTTGGTGCCTTCGTAACATGTTACGAAGCTGTCACAGGCGATTGACACGTATTACGAATACCCGTCACAACACCTACCGGTTGACCTGACCTGACCTGACCCGACCTGGTCTAAATGCTAAAAGACATCATCTCTGATCAAAACTAACATGATATTCGTGATCAGCACCCCGGAAAACCACAAAGCAGCCACACTTTACGACTTTCTAACAGGTCCCGATTTTCCCGGTTTTCGGGTCATTGACCTGACCTGGAAGGTCACCCGATGACCTAGGACCTTAAAATTGGGTATCATCGGCTTCCTCTCATGACGGGCAACTCGCTCGTGTTTTCCGCGAAGCTCTAGCTCGATCAGGGGCCAAACGCGAGGGGGGTCGTACCAACCCCCCCCCTTGTGCCGTCGAAGGACGCAAAATGGCCTGTGCCGGCGAGGGTTAAAATAAAAAAGAGCTTGTATTAGTGAATGCGTCAGGCGCGTTATATTCTATAACGTTAGATTGAATACAATAAAACCCCAACCTGTAACGACGCATGAGCAGCGTATAAGCCAGAGTACGATTTGTTCATTTCTGCTACGAGCGTGTTACTCGGAATAGCGCAATGTGAAGCCGAAATCGAATGGTCATGCTGGGAAGACCTAAATCGATTAAAACTATAGAAGAATTACTGCTTTCTTGATTAATATCATATATAGATATGAGCAAACGGTCAATACTAACACCAGTGGCGTGCGCACATACAGGACATTCCGTGCATGCCCTGTCCCTTTGGCTCATCGTCCCCGGCGCCCTCAGTGACTGGCGCCCCTCTTTCCAGTGTTGGCGCTCCTCCAATCGATAGCGGCGCGCTTCTAGTTGATGGCGAAGCCCCTCTGTCCAGTATTGGCGCTCCTCTGGTGATAGTGGCGCCCAAGGCCCTAAAACATAAGGTTGGACGAAGTTTTCTACCAAAAATGAACTAGAATAGCGTACGAGTCAAAGCTATTTCCGTTGTTTCTTTACAAATATGTCGCAAACAAGCTTTTTCTGTAATAAATCATTATTTCGAAGTTAAGCAACCAGTTACTATAAATTCGATAAGCAAACATTTATTATAAAAGCCTAGCTTATATAGTCCAACTCTAGTTGAATAATCAAGTAGCAACTAAATTTTCCAGATGTGACACATATTGCGCACTTCAGACAAATGCGTTGCTAAGGCGTTGCTAAGGACTCTTTCGCATGTTTTGCTGCGTGGTTTGTTTTTGTTATGAAGTGAGGGAAGTGAGATGGACAGGCTGTTTGACATTTTTTTCTGGTTTTCTAGGACCGTCGCAATTATTTAACTTGACATACTTTTCTTGCTTTTTTATCCGAGGCTTTTTCAATAATTGGTAGATTCTATCGTGGAAATAAAAGGGCCAGCAGGCCACAGGGGTAAATGCAAGTCGACTGATAGTGAAATAAAAGGTAGAAGTGTCTGTTCCATTGTAAATTTAATGTGATATGATGGAACATGAAGCAACAGGATCAGACGCAAGAACCACCAATAAAGAGCCCAGAACCAGCAAGCGCCATGCCATCAAGAGCAGCCATGATAACGTTTGATTAGCTTTCAGAAAACCTTGGAACTATACGCCAGACGGTGAGCAATCAAGAGATCTTACAAGACCAGTAGTTACTTGAAAACGAGAGCCGCCAAGAAAATCAGCAGATTCTTCAATGGCAACACATTTCAACATCTATCTAGCAATGATTTGCACCAGCGAGGTGGCTATCATTGTGTTTTGTGTCTGTATACCTGACAGCTCAAAAATATTTGTCAATAAATAAACAAACAAATAATGTGTCTTTTTCTACTGAAAGTAAGTCCTCCAAGTGGCAAGGGATGAATAATAGCAGGTACCTAATTAATTGCCATCTATTCATTCAATTCATAAATCATAGGCAATTCAGGGCATCGATCGGCAGCGCCCTTACTGCATGGTACTGCGGATCGTCCATGGGTTTCTTGATGACTCCGACTCTGGCTCAGACTTTCAAAAATCAACTCTGACTTTGATTTCAAATGTCGGCTCTGACCGACTCCGACTCCACAGCCCTAGCAGGTCTGCAGAGGCAATGGATTTTTGGTGACTCCGACTCCGACTCTGGCTTTCAAAATCGACTCTGACTCTGACTCTGGTCAGAACTGTCGACTCCGACCGACTACAACTCCGACTACGGAACCCTGAAAGGTCTGCGGAGGGGATCGAATTTCGGTGACTGACTCAGACTCCAGCTTTTAAAATCGACTCTGACTCCGACTCGACGACTCAGGTCAGATCTGTCAACTCCGACCGACTTCATGACTCCGACTCCGGAGCCCTACTGGTAGCTATCACGCCAGGGAGCTGCAAATCATATGTTCCGTGGCGGTTTATGGCATTAAAGTCGATAATGCGGCTGAAACGCACTATGAAACACCCTTATTGGCTGCAAGAACCACGAAAGTTAGCGCATCACCAGTGGAAAACGTGACAAGATATCGATTAATTGGCCCTGGATTTGGATGAATAACATGTTGATGATCATATTAGCACACATTTACATTATCATCTATCTCAAGGTTGCCCTCCAGGCGGCTCTAAACTATGGCAATTTCCCTATCTTCAACATGTAAATGCCCTCGGGCGTCCTCGTGGTGACGTAGGCATGGGAGTGCCAGGTTGGTAGGAACTAGACTTCGACGCCCCCTGGTGGCGCCCTCCTAGACGATATGGTGGGCCGGTGGCGCCCCTTTGTCCAGCATTGGCGCCCCTCCAATCGATAGCGTCGCGCTCCTAGATGATGGTGGGTGGCGCCCCTCTGTCCAGTATGTCAGTTATGTTCGTTCCGCACGTGTACGAACATAACTGACACATTCAAGTTTCAGATATGTGGCGCCCTCCTTGTTGTTGGCGCCCTCCTTGATTGGCGCCCTCTCGTCCAATGCCCTGGTCCTTCGCAAATTCCTGGGTACGCCACTGACTAACACACCTAACACGGACCAACCTATACTACTGATGGTGTACCTTCGATGAAATAGGGCTTCGCTTTTGTCGTAGAGAGTGGACTACACCACAATCGTTTTTAAAGGGACGGGTAAATGATTTTCATTAGTCGGCCTGAAAAACAGCTCCAACACAAAATGAGGTAATAGATGGGCCTCAGCCAGCACCAACTGATGTAAACAAGCCGACAGACAAGATAACACCACCGCACCAACAGTAAACGCAATCTCACCGAACGTCCCTACGTCCTCACCTCACAC